AATACACATCTATTCCTAGCATGCATACGAACCGTTATCCTACCCCCTTTCTGGATGAAAACCCCAATATTCCTATCTAGGGTTCTAACCCTCAAACTATCCTCAACTATCAGATTGATCAATTCTAATAAAGAGAATATAAATTTCGCATAAGGTAAAGATAAAGAACTTTATGTAAACGAGTAGAAATAAACCAATCTGTCGTAACAAGGGTTCACATAGGGTTTGTGACCCTAACTACAATAAAAAGTAAACTAGCCAAACATAATCATGGCTAAAAATTCAATATTCATAAAAACATAAAGTAAAAGAGAAAAAAGAAGAAGAAGAAGAACAAGAATTTCTCTCCGAAGATCTCCTTCTGACGCACGACGGTCTGCTTAGGTCCAGAATACCGAAGATCTCCTTCTTTTCATCTTCCAAAATTGGCCTCTTGAAAAGCACGAGCTGTGATTTCTGCAAACTGGCGCTCTCAGCGCCAGTTCCACGCCAAGAGCGTGGTTGCCTCTGAATCTTCACGCCATTACCGTGAAATCCACGCTATGAGCGTGGGAGTTTCTGGTTCCTCACACCATCAACGTGAAATCCACGCTATGAGCGTGGATCTTCATTTTGGTAAGTCTCCATTTGGCTCCAGTTTTGTCTGCTTTTCCCATATGCTGAAGGCATATCACTGCACCTGTTTGGAATTGCGTCAAGAGGCTTTTACAATTTTTATTTCTTTTTTCCTGTAAAAACACAATCAATAGGTGAGAAATATCATTTACATAAAAGAATAAAGATAATAGGCAAATATGTATTTAAATTACTCTTTTATTACTTAATTTTTAAAATTTCCAGCTTGGAAAACTGCATTTGCCAGAGGCAAATCATGCATCACCCTAAAAATCGTGTCTAGGGCCTGCAACCATTTGCCTGCGACAATCGGGTCATATGATCCGTCAAAAGATGGTGATTTATGCTTGCAAAAAGTATTCAGTCGACAGTCTCTCGTCTCCTGGTCTTCGATAGGTTCGTAGTATGGCTGCATCATGCCAGTAAGATGACTAACACCTTCCAAGTCACGCTAACTCATGCCTTCCTGAAAAAGATTTCCTCCACTCTCATTCTCATCTTGGCGACAAGGTAAAGGTGGTGGCGGCGGCAATGGAGGCAATGGTGGAGGATGCTGGCCAACATTTCGACCAGTCCTCACCTCCTCCAACATGACTCTCATCATAGTCATGTTCGCCAATCAATTTGCCTCAAGTACATCCTCAGTGGCTTTCTGGTTTGCCTATCTAATGGCATCCATCATAGCCTGGTTGGCCGCTCTAGTGGCCTCCTGATCGGCTTGTCTAGCCGCGTGCATCTCAGCTAATGCAGTCAGGATAGGATCAGGCTGACCCTCATTCGTCTTTTGAGTTCTACTAGAAGGCAACATAACTCTGCACATGTTACACAAAGGATGAGTTGATCAAGCCCATACAATGTGGTCACACAAGCATTATCATAGCAAGACCTAAAAGAAACTCACAAGACAACTTAGACTAACAAGGTATCTTAGGTTATTGCAATACATAAGGATATTTCCCTAGAAAGTTTGCTCTGATACCATAAAATGTAATGATAAACCTTTGGTTTACCATGTTTTTAGGCTAAATTATAAGAGAAATATGTTGCATGGAATTCAAGGTTTTACAACATATAAATCATAAGATAGGAATTAGAGCTGCTGTTTTGATTTTCTTTGCATTTTGAAGGTAAAACCACACTTATTAGTGCTAAGAAGTAAGGCAAAAATCATGATAAAGAGTGCAGCTCAATATGGATCAAAGGAAGCCAAACACTACAAGTCAAGGGCCAGAACAGCACGCTCGAGCGCACAGAATGGACGCTCGAGCGCGTCAAGGAAGGGAAAATATCTAAATTGAGCAATCAAGGACGCTCAAGCGCCCATTAGCACGCTCAAGCGCTCAAACCTGCAAGATTTCACCTTCGAGGAGCACGCTCGAGCGCACAGTTGGCCGCTAGAGCGCGTATGGGCAGGAAGAAGTCCTGAATTGATGCACAAAAGGACGCTCAAGCGCCCTGTAGCATGCTTGAGCACCCAAATATGAATCCAATCAGCCCAAGATTTGATTTGATTTGCTTGTTGATACAGATTTGTAATATTCGGAGTGAAAGGGGAAACAAATCGATCTCGATTTATTAATTGATAGAAGATTCATGGGGAGATTGGACGGAGGATTAAAAAAGATATGGCTTTAATGATTATAAATAGGGAGCTTGGGATCAATGAAATTAATTCATTCGACACCAATCCAGAGAATTACATAGAGACTTGAAAGAGGAATCATGTTGCAGAGCGTTGGAGCACTGAGGAACCAAGTCAACATCACACCAATGGAGGCTTGGGGTTCTCTTTTCTTTATTATTGTTTTTGAATTCAGTATGCTAGGCTAGACTTTTATGTAGTTAAGGGTAGATGGAACCCAATTGAATCGTTTATGTTTATGGATTAAATTGTCTTGAATTCTTTTCTTTTTATATATGAATAAATTTATCCGTCTTTAATGCTTTCTATGAGTTTGGTCTTTATAGATTGATTTAGGGGAATTGTATGACAATAGGGATGTTGGTGCATGAACCCTAACTTGATAAATTTATCACAATCCTTGTGATATAGGGATAGACATAGGGTAATTATGAAATCTTGGAATTCTTGATCTTAATGCATGTTTTCTTGGGGAATAACCGAGGAACTAGGGTTCTTCTGAGATCACGTAGATTTAGGGTAACAAGGAATTAAGCCCTAATTAACTTAGAAAGAATTGATTGGCATTATATTAAGAACGAATTCTTGACAATTTAATTCACTGCATATAGAGGAGATTGGGGGAAGTCGAAACCTTAACTACGCTTGTTTTTAAATTCTTAATCAATCATCTTTTTCAATTGTCTTCTTAATTCTGAATTTTTAAATTGCATGTTATTGATTGTTTTTCTTTCAATTTCAATTCTCTCAAATCCAATTTTTGATTGTCCAACTAAATAGTGATTAGCGAACTAGTGTTTGAAAATCTGATCCTCGTGAGATCGATCTCGTACTCCGGTACACTTTTATTACCAAACGATTGGTGCACTTGCCGAGTCGCAACAATTGGACGTTTTAATTTTCTGCAATTTAAAATTCTGCAAAAACAGTTTCTGCATAATTTTCTGCATATTCTGCATTCTTTTTTTGTTTTATTTTCTATTTTCTATTTTCTACATTCTTTTGTTTTTCTGCACGTCTTTTAAATCTTAGTTTATGCGAGGTACTGTTAACCCACGATTCTTGCATTTTGATCCTGAGATAGAAAAGACAGAAAGAAAACTTAGAAAAAGCGCAAAAGAAAAAAGCAAAAGAAACAAAAGAAGCATCAAGTTCAACGGAACCAAAGGAGGAACCGATGGTAGAGAACAATCAACTTCTTCCGCGGACGTTGGGATACTACATGACTCCAGCCCGAATTCCACAGACGGCAAGCATTGTTAGACCAACCGTGGATGATAACAACTTTAAACTTAAGCCAGTGTTGTTACAATTGATTCAAAAAGATCAGTTCACTAGAGGAAGCACGAAAGACCCTTACATTCATCTTGATAACTTCCTGCTCTACTGTGATACATTAAAGAGGAATGGAGTCTCACTTGACGCCATCTTGCTTAGGCTCTTTCCATGCTCACTGAAGGATAACGAAAGAGCTTGGCTGCAGTCAGTACCTGAAGGAAGCATCACCAACTGGGACGACTTAGCAATGAAGTTCTTGGCCAGATTCTTTTCTACTTCAAAGATGGCAAGGCTCAAATCAGAGATCACTACTTTTGAACAAAAAGAAAGTGAATCCTTGTACAAGGCATGGGAAAGTTTTAAAGGACTACTCTGAAAGTGTCCTCAATATGGCATCGAAGCTTGGGAGAAAGGACGAATTTTCTTCCAAGGAATGACGCCAAGTACAAGAATCTTGGTGAATGCCGCAGCAGGAGGATCGTTGAAAACAAAAACTCCAGAGGAGGCATTGGAATTGTTGGAATCTTTAGCTTCTCAGGAGTATGATAATGCTCCAGCACCACAAAGGAGAGCGGGAATCATGAAGCTTGAAGGCTATGATGCAATATTGGCTCAGAATGAACAAATACTGCAAATTAATAATAAACAACAAGCACAATTAGATGCTCTTACAAAGAAATTTTCTAATTCTCAAGTTTCTTCTGTTAGTAACTCTCAAGTTACTTGTGGTATTTGTGCAGGTACTCATGCAACCGAAGATTGCGATTACATGAGGACAACTGAAAAGGCTAAAGTCAACGGACTCTGGTACGATCAAAAGAACCAGAATAATTCGGCGAGGAACAAATATGGTAATAACTATAATCAAGGGTGGAAAAATCAAAATCAACACCTAGGGTTGAGTTACAAATCAAACCATCAGCTGAATCCTCCTTTGCCACTACAACAACAGCCCCCACCTCAAGGCATCACTTCAGAGTGGGAGAAAGCTTATGCACAGCTGTCCAAGACCACCTCGGACTACATTCAGAATGCAAATGCTTTCAGAGATGAAACAAGAGCTTCATTCTGAAATCAAGAAGCTTCTATCCGAAACCTGGAAACTCAAATTGGCCAGCTGTCAAGACAGTTCACTGAAAGAACCCAGGGCACCTTCCCAAGTAACACAGACACAAACCCAAATGCACAATGAAATTGTATAGTTACCAGAAGCGGGATCACGATCCAACCTGTGGAAAAACTGCCAGTTGAAAAGAAGTAAGAAGCTGAACCTGTAGCTGAAATGGAGAAAGAAAAAGACGCAAGAGAAGCAGAAAAGAGCAGTCCAGAAAAAAAGCTATTCAAATGGGAGAAAAAGAAAGCTCTGGACCGGCAACCATAACCGGCGGATTCGTCTCCTTATGCACGAGTTCCATATCCCCAGCGGTTGAAACAAGAAATCCAGAAACAACAATACACAAAATTTATGGACATCTTCAAGAAGTTGCAAGTGAACATTCCTTTCGCAGAAGCCCTGGAAAGCATGCCGAATTATGCAAAATTCATGAAAGACCTTCTGTCAAAGAAGCGCAAGTTGAAGGAGTATGAAACAGTGGCCCTGACGGAGGAATGTAGTGCCATCATCCAGAAGAAACTTCCTCCCAAGCTGAAAGATCCGGGCAGCTTTAGTATTCCTATAGCCATAGGAAATATTGAAGTAGGAAATACATTATGTAATCTGGGAGCAAGTATAAATCTGATGCCACTTTCCATGTGCAGAGCTCTTGGAATCAAAGAGCTGAAGCCAACTACAGTTTCTCTCCAACTAGCTGACAGATCGATCAAATGACCAGATGGGGTAATTAGGGATTTTTTAGTTAAAATTGACAAATTTATCTTCCCTGCAGATTTTGTAATTCTAAATATGGAAGAAGATGCTGAGATCCCCATACTTCTTGGGAGGCTATTCCTAGCCACCGCAAGAGCAATGATCGATGTGGAGCAAGGGAAACTGATGCTAAGGATGAACGAAGAGACAGTCACCATGGATGTCTTCGAGTCAATGAAACATCCAACTGATGGAGGAGACTGTTTCATGGTTGATATAATTCAAGAAGCAGTTGATGACACCATGAAAGAGGATAGTTCCCCACTCGAGTTAGAGCAAATCAACGAAGAAGCAGAACTTGCTGATAAAGGAAAAGAACCAGTGGTGGAAGAACTTGAAAGAAAGAAAGATGACATCCTATTAATTATAAAAGTAGTCTAAATAAATATTCCGCAAAGAGTTTACAGTTACGGTCACAGCTTTTAATTATTACGCTTTTTATTGTTTTAAATACTCGCGTAATAACGGAAAAAGTTTACTCGCATTTTTAGAAATGAGTTGCTGTGATTGTAACTGCGCTTAATATCATAATTAATGTTAACAATACCGATGTACAACGGGCTGTTACAACTAGCCTTTTTTAGTGTACCTACTTGGTTAGAACCTGTGCCAGTTTCAAGCTCACCAATAGCCTGCAAATGTTCAAATTCAAAAATTTGCGCAGCTTAGAATTAATCATGACGCTTAGAAGAAGCAATGATAATATTAAGAGTAAATACCCTTTTTGGTCCTCAGCAAATTTCACGATGCCCGTTTTAGTCCCTAGCAAATAAAAAGGCTCATCGTGGTCCCTAAGAAATTCAAAGTGGACCCATTTAGTTGAAATCGTGGTCCCTCACAAATTCAAAAAAGACTCATATTAGTCCCTAAAAGGACTAAAATGGTTCCATTTTGAATTTCTTAGGGACCATGATGGGTCTTTTTATTTGCTATGGACTAAATCAGGCATCGTAAAATTTGCTGAGGATCAAAAAAGATATTTACTCTTATATTAATGATGAAATTCAAATTCTGAAAGAATTGATAAATAGAAGAAACTTCTTTAGAGGAGGCAAGCAATGCTAATTGTAATCGATGAGCAAAACAATGCACATAATAAGCACAAGGACATTCATTAAGAAATAATGCTTGCAATCCATTCCATTCACCATGCATGTTACTAGCACCATCATATCCTTGGCCACAAATATTTTTTATATCAAGGAAATGATGTGAGAGTTTTTCACTAATAGCATTTTTAAGTGTCAAAGATGATGTATCTTGAACGTGATAAAGATAAAAAAATCTCTCTTTTATTAAACCATCTTTGTCAACAAATCTCAAGACAAGAGCTATTTGTTCCCTTTTCGATTCATCACGTGCTTCATCCACAATAATACAAAACTTAGAGTCTCCAATATCTTTGCGAATCTGTTTCCGCACTTTGTTTGCTAGAACATATAAAATCTCCCTTTGTATTTGAGGTGATGTATACTTGGCGGTCAAAGGAGCATTCTTTAGAACAACATCTGCAACTTTTTCATTGTAAGATGCCAAAAGTTTGATCATTTCAATAAAATTACCATTATTTCTTGAATTAATAGTCTCATCATGCCCTCTAAAAGCACATCCTTGAAAAGTAAGCCAATGAGCAACATCAATTGAAGTCTTAACATGAAGCCTATTTTTTTTAATTTGTTGGGAGCTTTGAGCATGCATAACTTTATCAATATGGCAAGACTGATTCATTAAGTCTACACATGAGATGAGTGCATTAGTATGTTGTGAACAAGGATCATCTCCCACGTGACTTAGAAAAGCACAATTTTTTTCGCTATGAACTCTTTTCTAAGTATTAAAACCTTTGATTGTGAATGCATCCCAACCATGTCGCCCACCAGCCTTTGTAGTGAAAAGATAGCACGGTAAACAAAATGCAGCATCTATAGAAGGTAAATACTCAAGCCACAAAGAAAATTCTTTGAACCAAGAAGCTTGAAAACGTCGAGGATGTTTTTCCTTTGAAAATGGATAGGAGCATTGAGGTTGATATGGCCCAACCATTAAATAAGCTCTCCGTATCTCATCGACTTCATTAGCTGAATATTCCCAAATTGGCTTACGTTTGCCTGGATCACGTTCAAAAATTTTATTTCTGACTATAATAATGTCATCAATATATTCAATTCTGTGACACTTGGAAGAAGGTTGCTCATGAGAAGATGCATCACTTTCAGAAATCATGTTTGTAGGAGTATCACTTTCAGAAATTGTACTTGTAGGAGCATCATTTGATTTACTTTCAGAGACCACTCTCTTTTTAAAGAACAAATCTATACTTTTTTGTTTATCTTTGCCCATACTTTTTCAACCTACATGTCAATTTGTAAGTATTAAAAAAGATGATCTCAACTGATGGACATATTGAAAACCAATGCAATCATCAAAAAAACCTACAGCATATGATCTCAACTGATAATCTACAAGCAGCATCGTCCTCTCCAATTCCTTCAGCAATCAACCTCATCAAATTATGCGTCAGCTTAATATTTACAGAATCTCCATAATGCTCGAAAACTTCATTCATGGTCTGCATAATCAAATTCAAAGTACTAGATACTATTAGTCATCAATGAATGTATGTTAAAATAAAAAATGTAAAATCAATAATAGTAAAGCAACAATTTTACTCGATGCAAATTGCTCAGCTAGTTTTACACATCGAGATGCTATATAGGTTCTATAATGTTCATCACTTATGCTAATCGAGTAATCAATCATACGATCAACAGTCACTACAACATTAAGCCCTATGTCTATGCCAACAAAAATATTAAGCTTACAAAATTGAATAGCTCAAAAGTATGCCTCATTCTAAAGCAATTGAGATCAATTACTGATCCTAGAAAATCAGTTCTAACGGCAAATGTTCAGAAACTTGACACGACAAAATCTGGTTGGGTTTCGCACGCACAGAGACAGAGTGATCCATAAGACCAAAGCTAAATGATTAATCTCTTATTAAATAGTCATAACATATGCATCTTAAAGTATTAAGCATTTTTTCGAAGAATATCCTCACCTCTAACTCTAAAGTATTATGCAGTAAATATATAGAAACAAATAGATTTAGTTAAAAAAAATCACAAAATAAGATAAGTGCACATTACCTAAGCACCTCTCTGATGGAAAATACAACCTTTAATTGCTTTAGTAACCTGCATTTAAGATGGGTGTAGGTAGTTATTTTCAGCATTCATTTCTTAAGCAACTCTTTTGTATGCAACTCTTTTGTATGCAACATTGCAACTCTGTTTTTTTTTTAATAAAAAAAAATGAAAAACCCCATCTTCACAAAAAAATCGATCACAGTATCACACCAAAAGCTAAGTAAAGAACTTTAAGAATAAAAAGGAATCAACTTCAAAGCAAACACCGTAAAAAGGAATTAATTAGTACTACATGTACTAACAAGATACATATACTTTTTGGTAACCCGCAACGGAAGAACTCCATAGTTAAGTGTGCTTGACTTGCAGTAATTTTGGGATGGGTGACCTCTTGAGAAGTTTTCCCAGAAAGTGTGCGAGTGAGGAAAACGCACATTAAAAAGTCTCGTGTTAGTATGTGGAGATAGTCGTTGATTCTTGAAGCGGCCGGGCATTACATTTGTATGTTTAATACACCGGGTGGGCACGAGGTGTTATATTTTATGGTATCAGAGCAGGCCTCTCTTACAGTACGGTATGGTTCGAGGACAAACCAGACGGGAGCTGGTGGGCATGTAACATCCTGAGCGCTGACGAGGGCGGGGAGTGATCGCTGGTGCAAAGAGGTACGGACAAGGAGCGGCTCCTGACAGGCTTCTAGCGGGGGTTATATGAATGAATTGAATAATGCTTAAAGTCACTTTTCGGATGAAAAGTGTAGATATCGATTCTGCTTCGTGGTATAGAAGTGTACCAGTGAAGTATCCCGAAAAATTATAATAAAAATTTAAATATTCCTAGAAAAATATCTAGGTCAAGGATATCAAGTTTGGAGTAAGAATAATGAGTGTTGATGTCAGAACTAATACCGGCTACGTGTAAAATGCGTACCGGCAAAGTGCTGCGAAAATTATAATAAAAATATTATAATACCTAGAAAAATGTCTAGGTTCAGAATATTAAGTTTGGGAGCTAAATAATTAGTGGAGCTATTAGAACTAATACTGATGAGTTAAGTGAGGTAACTTTATATAAGTGAAGTTTAGACACTTGTCCCATTGTATTCCAAAAACCTACGCAGCTCTTCCCAAACTCCAGACCACATTCTTCTTCATTCCTAAGGAAGATCACACCTTTCTTCATGGGAGTTAGCAAAGAACCCTCTTTTATACATTTTTCTCTCTCTTGATCCATCTTGTGAGATGAAAGTAACCATCTTGAGGCAGAAAAGACTTTTCTTGAACACTCTTGTTGCTGTCTTGGAAGGGTGAGTGTGAGTCTTGTCAGTTTTGGAGTATGAGCCTATATCAAGCTTGCTTGGAGGCTCTTAGTGGTGAGAGGAGTGATTTGTATCACTCCATTTTCATGTACAGTGCTTGGTGGAAGCAAAGAGTGGATTTTCCTACCTCAAAGGCCTTTCATTTATGCTTACAAGGCTTTGGAGTACATTCCTTACCTTTGTGCATGAGTTTCTATGTTAAAGATCACGTCTTGGCATGTTAAATGAAGTGATTAAGTAACTAACATGAACACTGGCCTAAATGGGTTTAAATATGCATGTTTGAATGTCTAGTAACACAAAAAAAAAATGGAGTCTTTGAAGGATATCTTCGAGAAAATGCATAACTCCATTCTTTTGCGGAATATCTGGATAAGATATCCCGGATATGAATATCCGGATATTGGGTCTGTGATATCCGGATATTGACCCTGTGATATCCGAATATTGATATCCGGATATGCCCCCGAGGCATATCCTAATTGTAACACCCTACCCTCCCTTGTATGCATCCAAGAGAGTTGTTTCCTAAGCGGATTAGAGTTCTTTAATCATATTTTAGAGACTGTAAATCATTTTGATGTTGCTAATTAAAAATTATAATTGAAATCGGGTTTGTCACAAAAATCAGAGTATACTTTCAAAACTTCTCAACTACTGAAAATATAACTTTCCTGGCAGACCTTGCTGTCTTTAAAAATTCGTATAAAATTCATTTCAACGATTAAAAAACATATTCTTTGTAATCTAGAAACTAGACATCCGGGGCTTCGCGTTCATATAAAATAATAGTAATTTGAAGGTCGTTTGCCCCTCGAAACATAACTCGTAAGGCGAGAGTTAAAATCAGTGAATTTATATCAAACGACCTGACTTGCAAAAATCATAATAAATCGAGATTTCAGAATTTCGTTGAAAGACTTATATATAATGAAACTAGACAGCTGGGGCTACGCGTGCATATAAATTATAAGAAAATCAGAGGTTCGTAGCCCCGGGACGCCAACCTACAAAATGCTCGCACAAACAGTTTTAACTTAGCTTTCAAAACGTCATGAATCAGTTTTAAAAAAAAATGGTTCTGAAATCCGTTTCAAAACACTTGCTGTTCTTAAAAGTCTTAAAACAGAATGCAAACATAGTTCACTAATAATTTAAACATCCACAATTAGTACAGTCATCCATGAAAATAATACAATCACAACAGCATGCCCAATAGTAGAAACCAACAACAAATATCCAAGTCCTCAAAAGCTTTTACGTCCTCCTGGCATTTTATAAAAATAGCAGCCCCAAAGGGGTGAGAAAAATCCCAGTAGTGTGGCAATAAAAAAACCAATAATGCAATATTATTAAACTAGGCACAAAATTATAAACAGTCGCTTCAAACATGAAATCCTTTTCATCATATAACCTTTTCATCATATATCCTTTTCATCATATATCATATTGCGTATATAACGCCTTCATCACGCTCATAGCACCGTCGGGCGCGTGCCATCACAGTGGAAATTCCATGCACGACACCATCATTTGGGGAATTCCACTGTGGCCTATGCGGACTGACGCCAACTGTCCCAGTACCCTGATATCAAGGGATGCCTATATGATGCGTGCTCAATCACATGGTCCTATATATATAACTATTCTAAGACTCAAGACTAACATGAATTTGGTACATGCATGCCATGCTATGATGTCACACACAAACAGAAAGACAAGTGCGGTATGATGTACGGTGCATGCATATATCATCATTTCATAACATATACTTCATGTACATTGGATGCCATACTGCCAAGCCATTCTTTCTTTTCATAACAGAATTTCCATAATCATAACATTTCCATAGGCTGAATAATTTCATCATTTATGGCAGAATAATCATAAGGCACATGTGAGCAACAATTCGCAATTCACACACTAGTCAATAGTCACATCAGGTAATATCGCCTAACACATACCTTGAGTCTTTAATACTTTTAATCAACACATCATCGAATAATCCATTTAGCTAGAACTTTGTGCACCTAATCAAGTACATAATTATCAAGTCAGAATTGATTACACATTTTTCCTATTCATTACATAAAATTTCCCATGCTTCCTAACTCTTGGATTTAGTCGGATTTAATGACTATATTACAAAGTATAATTGCTTCAGACTTAATTTCTATTTATCAAGGTTGTCATTAGACCAAGCCAAAAGTTTATAGCGCATGATGGTCCGGTTCTTTAACCATAAACAAAAGCTTCCAACTTTTTACTTACATAATTGCCAAAACCCAAATCTACTTATGCATCTGTGTTTGGTTTTCATTAACTTTACATGATTATCCATTTATTATATACACAGCACGTCCTACACGGCTTAAGTACACTAGTGGAGCTTACAGTATGCTGCCTACATAATTTAACACATGCAAGACCAAGTAAATAATTTTAGTCCAAAGGACCAATCCAACTATTGATGGGTGTCATTTTCCAATCCCCAATTCGGTTTTCTTGTGCTAAAATAGCACTATGTTCCAAGGTTGAGTAAATGGGCAGAAACAAGAGAGAGATGACAAAATTGCATCTCGCCTTGAACGCATAAGGTAGCCGAACATAGAGAGGGAGAAGAAGAGCTTGGAACTCAGATTCATCTACTTACAAGTCCTAAGCTTCAAACTGAGTTATCATGTTTCAATGTTATTAATTTTCTGCCTTACATTTCATTCCATTAATCGACAGCAATTGACAAAGCCCCAATATCCATATATGCATACAAATTCAGTCATATGACTATTACTTAAGAAGTTCAATTTCTTTTTCTTAATATACATTACCTACATACATCATGTACCGTTAGGTTCTGTGAGCCCACTATGTAC